TATCAGTTCATCACTATTCACCTTTTTTTTTCCAGGCTCCTTTCCTGAGAAAGTCAATTCAGTTCAGACAGGCTTAGCATTATATATCAGTTCATCACTATTCACCTTTTTTTTTCCAGGCTCCTTTCCTGAGAAAGTCAATTCAGTTTTAAGCATCTGCCTCACATCTGCCACAGTGAAGATACTAAGAAATTGTCCCTCTCTGAGCTTGGTTGTTTTCTTGCAGATGTTTTGTTACCCGACTAGGTAACATCTTCAGTGCTAGCAAGTCTGCAAGCAAACAACAGAGAACACCAAGGACTCCACAGTTCAACCTCAAGCTATCTATATTCTCTTCTATTGGAAATTGTTCAGTTTCTCTCAGATAGGTTTACCACATAAAGTTATTCATACAATGATCAGTTAACACTTGATAAACGGTTGCCTGTATTCATAAGTTTTGCATAATTCTGAGATTGCAACTAGTCCTAAGGACTAAAACCATGCTAACCTACAGAAGCTCTCATCAGAACTCCCATGGTTGGTAGATAGCTTCCTTCACTTCAAGTAACTTAATTAGTTATCCTACCACCTTTGCTCTCAACTTACTCATCAAATTCTGCCAGGTACATACTTTTCTGGAAACCTCTGCCTTAAAAGTAAAGCATAAAATTGCAGTTGACATGGGGATGCAAGGCATTTGGATAATATATTACATTTAGACATTCTCCAGTCACAAAATCCAGACTGATTGGGCTGAATTAACCAAGCAGGTAACATATTATTTCCTATTTTTTTATCTTACTTGCATTGATAGAACCAATATTAGAAATTCAAATGGCATGTAGCAGCATGTCCTTTTCTCCTCTTAACTGATGAAGCATAACAACAACCATTCCAAACAAGTTCAACAGTGAAATTGTGGAATTAACTGCCTCATAATCTGCATCTATGCTCTGTGGCTACAACTAGGTTTCTGTCAGTTTATAGGCAGGCTGGAACATGAAAACACAAAATATCTAATTAATTAGGGATCTCACTAAGTGCATATTAGGATGGGGAGGAGCTTTTGATGTAAATAGAATTAGGCACACTTATATTTAGTAGCAGTGATTAGTCCAGTCCAATATCATATAGGGGCTAGGTTAATAAGACTAGAGTATGCAGAGACTGGGGTTCAAATCCTCATGATAACATGGAGAAGACTGTAGATCACCTTAGGTTTCTGGGATAAAGAGTAGGCTATAAAATAAAACAAATGAATGGCAACTAAATGGAATAGTAAGTTCAGAACCAGCACTTATCTATATAGCAGACATGGAACAAACATTAGGTGGGTAGTCATTTTCATGCTTCTAATCTTTCTAAAGGCATCTGGCTGACCACTGATTTAAACAGGGTACTTTATTGTTCATCTGATCCAACAGCATTCTACTTATTGATATGTCCTGACTAAAACCAGAACATATGTGTTTATATTATATGTCTACATTGTGATGTATTAGAATATTTACAGCTAGCTCAATATTGCCACCTCCAGACCAGGCTCATGCATTACATTAAACCATGGTTTGCTTAACCAGTTTATTGAATAAACCAATCTTGGCTGCATTTGTCACAACACACTAAGTGATGAAGCAATCTTTTACAGACCATTAGGTCTGGAGTCACACAGTGCAGTCAACCAAAAGCCACATTACAGGTAGTCCTCATTTACCAATAGTAATTGGGACCAGGAACTTCATCGCTAAGCGATGTGGTTGTAAGGCTTGATGTCACATGACCATGCTGACTTACGACAGCAATTCCATCCCAGTTGCTGTCATTAGGCGAATCCCACGTGGTTGCAGTGTCCCACAGTCATCTGATCACCATTTGCGACCTCCTGCTGGCTTTCGCATTGACTTTGCTTGTTGGAAGCTGGCAGTGAAGGTTGCAAATGGTGATCACCTGGCTGTGGGACACTGTGACATCATAATTGCAAGCCAGTTGCCAAGTATCCAAATCACAATCACATGACCGCAGGGATGCTGCAACAGCCACAACTATGAGGACCCATTGTAAGTCCCTCGTAACTTTGAATGGTCGCTGAATGAGTGGACATTAAGCAAGGCCTACCTGTACAGCTTAGCTGGTTGCATAGACCTAGACATAATGCCTAAGCTTTGACATCCCTGCAATGAACTCTGAATAGACAGACATTATGAGTCTTATCCCTGAGTAAACAACAATACCTTTTCACAAAGGGTAAGTAGGATCTTATTCAATAAAATGCTTTCATGAAACAGCTGAATTTCTGACATAAGAATGGAGCCAATCCTACTGAAGAATGCACCAATGTAAGTCCAGTAAGGGAACATTCGTTCTGTTTTTTCAAAAGTGACTTTACAATCAATGGTGGTCACAGAACAATAGATACTATAAGATTTGCGTCATCCAGTTTAGAAAGACAGAGAGAAAAAAAAGTCAGATATGCTGCCAATTGCAGAGTTTGGGGGATGGGGTCCCTGGCCAAGATTGTTTCCTTTTCCTGTGTACCCCCATCTTTTCCTTGACACCATTGTCACCACTCATTTTTTTCTTTCTGGATCTAGTTGGTGTTACATCCATCAAAAGGAAAAGGCAAGATATGTTAGACTTAACTGCACATTGTCTTTTATTGTTCAGATGGTAAGGAGCTGGAGGGGCAACATTAGGAAGCTCCATGAATTGGCAGTAGTCCTGAGGTACTTTTCAGTACCAATCCCTGAAACTAGAGTTGTTTAACTGAATTCAGAAGTTCTGTTAATTCAAAACCTAGTTCTGAACATTCCAGCAGTCTGTCTTAAATCTACACTTTCCAAGCTAAAGAATCAGGTTCCATAGGCATAATGGTCTGTATAAGTAGGCTTTTTGTGAAATACTTATAATAGTAAGCAAAATAGTAAGATAGATGTTTATTTCAGCATCATCAGCTTGACTATTCATACAGCTAGTAGCTCATATATACTGTATGAAAGCCCACCAAGACTTACAGCACTTTGCTTGAGTTTTATGCCCAGCATTAGCTCTAATCCAAGTTCATAACCCAAGATCTGAGCCAGAAGTACATTTAACTTTGATACAGTGGCAAAGCTGAAAAAGAAGCAGGCAGAATGAACGAGGCAGAAATATTAAAAGTACAAGGCTTGGTACAGCTGTTTTCATGTAAGTTTGCACATAGTGACATCAGAAGGTCTAATGATTAAATGATACCATGGATAAAAAGGGAGAAAATAAAGAAGATAGGAAAAGTCCTGTAAAAACATGTCTCAGTCAAAACTAGTATCACAGATATATTCATGTCATGTTATACAATTAAATTATTCACATTTAAAAAAACAGGAGAAAAATGGGTAACTGAACATGCAAATAAGTACATGGAGTCCAAATGTCTAAATATTCTTCCAAATGAGTCTCCCTATAATAAAACCCTTGCTCAAATATAAAAAGAGAAGTGCAAATCCTGACAGTATCCATCTTTGGGTACACAGACAGACCTGATAGCTTATACAAAGAATTGCTCAGTGTAAGTCCCACCCAATTAGAGGAAGTAATTCTTCCAGAAGCTATTGGAATCCTAATGATATCATCGCCATCATAAGCCAATCATCTGCAGAGCCTGTTTCCAAGTTGGAAACGCAAAGGGTAGCTTTTCAGTTCTAAGGAGGAGATACATAGCTCTCTAATCAGTATTTCTCAACCTTGGCAACTTTAAAATGTGTGGACTTCAGCTCGCAGAATTCCCCAGCCAGCACAGCATCAGAATGGTCATGCAGGCTAGGGAATTCTGCGAGTTGAAGTTCACACATTTTAAAGTTGCCAAGGTTGAGAAATGCAGAAGACAACAGGAACAGAGGAAGTGGCTGTTCGCGACATAAACATTTTGATGGAAGTCCTTTCCCCCAGTATGGTTGCATGTTGCTACAGAGGATGGAGCCAAATCCTAAATCATGCAGACAGGCTTCAGGAATTTCATTTTTGAAAGCAGCAGGGTTGACCCAGTTTTGATTAGGTATAAATCACTGCAGCTCCTCTACATACATGAGTCCAAGAGAAGAGCGCAGGGAAGATGAAGCTGACAAGAGGCTGTTCCTCCTTTTCTTTTCCTAGGAGCCAGCTCATATATATGGTACTAGGTTATTTGTCCTGGAATAGTCCATTGGAGCCTAGAAGCTGGGAGGCAGGCAAAAGCAAGAGTTCATACTAGGAACTGCCTCCAGAGAAGGCCAGTTTGATCCCGCTTAAATAAACTGGCAAAATCAGAAAAAGAGCCAATGCAGCTCTCAGAATGAACTGATGTCATCTGATTAGAGTTGGTTTGAAAAGGATGCAAAGCGAGGTGGTCCCTAGTTTTAGTATAGTTTCAGCTACCCCACCTTTAAGTTGGTACTGCTGACATGGTGAGATTACAAAGGTCTGGAGTTGCTTTCAAATTGGAATAGATTCCTCACATGATTCTAGCTGATATGTCCTTTAGTGATAGATTGTTGAACAGGAAAAAAAGAAAAGAAAAAAACCACCACCAATTGAATTAGGAAGTGAAGTTAAGAGGTACAAATTACTAAGGGCGGAACTTCACATTCTGTTCAACTCTGTAATTTTCCAGTCTGAGAAGGCACAAAAGCTAATGAAGGAGTTTCTTGTGGAAGGAAGATGTTTAATCTTTTTCATACCCAACAACAGTTACCTCTTGAGACTACTTTCCTTCTTTCTCCCAAAGTCAGAGGGGTATTAAAAATGGGGCAAGGGGGAGATTAAGCATTCTTTTCTCATCTGCTGCTTCTTGGTTGGAAATGCCAATTTTCTTTTTTTATGCAGAGCTCATTTCTTGTTCCTTTTAATTTTCTGGCTAGAAGGAACTGCCTCCACTGCTTGATCATGATGAGTTGTTTCTCACTCAGAAATTAGAGTGGATACTACAACAGCCGGACCAAATGGGACTGATGTTGGTTTTGCTGCAGCTGTTGTCCTTTGTCTCCTCTCTTCTATCATGTCATCAGCAAGGATGCCAGCTGGCAGTGGTTCCCTGGGAAAGTACACAAGTTCCTATGAAAATACAATGGCCCAGTCGTCCAGCATTGGAGATTATGCCAACAAGACTTTACCTCTCAGTAACAAAACAGACCAGAAGGTGGGAAACAAAAAATGAGGTTTAACTGTCTTGGACTTGATTTGCACTGGGGGGGGGGACTCTTTGAGGAGGGGAAAGTAGTAGGGGCTACATCAGCATGTAGTAACTACATCAGCATGTAATAACAGGAATTTACATCATAGAACACTAACAGAAACTTGTGGCTAGAATCTCAGAGCTTCTATAACTGCTGAAACTCTTTGGAGAAAGAGTGAAGTTTAAGAGACTGGAGCCAAACAGTGATTAGTGCACCAGCTGCAGCCATTCCTGGGCTGGTTGGACTAGTTGTTCTTAGAGGTCATTTCCAATTCTGTAATTCTCTTTACTGTCTTTTTGTCTGCTCCCATATCTAGCACGAGCATCTCATCCCAACTTTTAGAGCCCACCATGGCTTTTTTTAGTCCATTATCATCCAGTTCAAATATTTTTGCTACCCAAGGATGCCCTGCCTTTTCACCTCTCTGTGTTATCGCTTATGAAATTGCTTCCTACAATGCCTCTATGGTGCCACCTTACTTTTTCCAGACAATTCTCAAAACTTGGCACAATTCAACCTAAACTAGGGGTGGACATGCAGGCTTAACTTTGTGTGTATGTGCATGCACATGTACATATGTAGGAGGGAGGAACCCAGAAATCTAGGCTAGACAAACAAGATGTGCAATTAGTGCTAAAGAATTTTGAACCCAAGTGTTAGAAACCAAGAGGAGGAATACTTTAAAACCTCCCTGGCAGACCTCTTCTGCAAGGGTTCCCCAATTATAGTAGGTGTCATCAGTCAGGCTCAACCTCCTGATACCTCCTAGTTGGTCAAGTCAGGGAATTCGTAGCCCTTCAACTCAGAATTTCTCCCTTCAGCCCAGTTCTAGGAAGCTTTCTATTTCCTAGAAAGGAAGGTGATTGGCTCTTCCTGCCCAAAGTCCAGAAATGCCAATCCTGAAACACAAGAGGTGATTATGTAACCATGTGGTCTTGCATGTGTGGAAGGGACTAATGAGAAATTCCCTTCTAAAACCAGTGAAGCTTAATCTTTAGACATAAAAATAAATGTTCTGGCTAAAAGGAAAATGAGGGAAAGCAACTATAACACATACATAGAATTCTAAGTAAGTCAGCCAAGCTAAACTAGTTATGCATTGTTATTTTTCAGCTCCTTGAATAAGGTTTTGTTAAGTACACATGTTCACTGCAGGGAGGGTTCTGGAGAGAGAACATCTTGGCCTTGTATTTGGAAGTTTAAAGACAGGGTCTTCTTTCTTCTCCTTGATTTTGTTTCTGCTCTGAGCACTTATCCTCGATTTTATAGGCAGTGAAACTTAAGTGGAGGCAAACCTTTTTGGGGGAGACTGACTGCTGCTTTGCCCAGTCAAATGCAACACTTCACCAATGATGTCCTGGATCTCACTAGAAAATCAGAAATTTTCTAGAGGCTAAACCTACCTTCCTAACAATCCTTGATGAAATTACAGAGATGCATTCTAGGTTTTACTGGTTTCCCTTTCTATAATGGGATTACATGGGAGAGTCTGAGGAAATACAAACACAGTTCCACCTATTCAGGCCATCTAGTCTGATAATGGGTTCATTTATCAGCTGCTTTAATGGGCACTGTGATGCCATGCCAGAAGTAGGGATTTATTATACCAGAACTACATGGAACTTGAGTTCTGGAAGTAAAATTCTCTCCAACCTTTATATTCAGAACTATAAACTTTGGGATCCTTCCCCCCAGGAGTATATGTGTGGGTATAATTATATTCCTGTTACTGTTGAACAACTGCAACTAAGCGCATTTGTCTATTGCTGCAATAATTGTACGTTTATTGCATTTATATCCATGCAGACATGGATCTCTCCTCTCCCCACAACAACAATCTTATGAGGTAGGCTGGGGAGAAAGATTACTCCCTGTGGTAATGGAAACTTGAACCTGCCTCTCTCTCATCAAGGAATAACAGTTTAACTACTAGCTCTCCAAAACTGATCAAGAGAATTTGATTTAACTCCTGTTCATTCCTGTTCTAAAGTCTAGATGCCCTACTATAACTAAGAATCTTTCTCAGCTACTCCTCTACTCCACTGTTCTTGACCAGGTACAAAACAGTGTTGGCATAAAATCTGACAGTTGCATTGCATTGTCATTGGTGAATGGCATTGTCCTGATTTCTGATTACTACTTGTAATAAACAAGGTGATAAGCTTTCTCTTTTGGTTTTGCTACTGAGGCCTTTCAGCATGTCACCAACCAGCGTGGAAAACATTCACACATTAGCAGACTACAGGACTTTGCCTGTCTTCACAAGGATCATTTGTTTGCCCCCCCCCCCAATTCTCTCTTTGCGCATCTCCCAATTTAAACGGGAAGATATAACAGCACAAATAACCCCAGAGTCCCAATTGTGCAATTAGTTGGGCCTGCAGAGCTGGAGAATTGAAACTGACTAGACACTGCAGACAACCAGGGCTTTACTTCAAGGCAGGGGCGGGGGGAGGGGTTGCAACTGAGAAACAGAGGGTAAGTGGTAAATAAGCCACACGTACCAAGTTCAACTTCTCTTATTATTTTTTGGACACTGCAGTGAGGAAAAGTGAGGCTGCTGCATCTAAATGTAAGACTACATTTCAAACTTGTGTTAAAATGAAATAGTGAAAAACCTTCTTCTTTCCCAGATACAATAGCGGAGCTATATTCTGTTCTCTATCTTGTTGGAAGCCCAGAGAGTTGTTGTCAAAGCAAAGGTGGATTGCAGTTGATGGATATGAAAGGAACCCAGGAAATGAGTGTAATGGAGAAATCAAATGGTGGGAGAGAAATGGCTGCAGTGGAGGCTGGCTAATGACTGGAAGAAAGGAAGTGTGGTTTTCCCTGCAACGCTTTCAAATACCTCCAGCCATACTTACAACAGGTCAGCTGAATTCACCTCCACAGTAATGGAAGGCAAAGCAAAGTGGCTTTTGTACAATTTGAGGTTGTAGTCATATGAGAGTTAATTCTCACATACTCAGCAGAAAACAACCTGCCTGTTGCCAGAACAGGAGATGGATGGAAATTGGGCCTCCCATCCAGAAGAGAGGGCTATCTTACCCATTGCATAGCTTGAGCAGGCAAACATGTGAATGTAGATCTCTATAAATAAAGCTATATCTGATACCCACTAGTTGTTGGCTCTCTTCCATAATGGCTTTTTAGTTTTTCTACAATAAATTTTACTTATCAGAAATGGATGTTGGTATGTATGTTTAAATGATTCCAAGCTAACAACATCTGAATAAGAGGGGAACTGCTGGGCTTCGGGGATTAGTGGACATGGTCTAGAAAACAGATTTCTTACATTTGGCTGGCATCTTCAGAGGCAAAGTGGTTTGCTATGCAGACCACAGGCAACTGAGCAGAGACTGGCTGGGCTCCTGTATTTATAGTGAGGTGTCCTGACTTCTGATTGGCCTTTAGCTGAGCTGATTTCTGATTGGTGCAGGTTGGTAAGGGTTGGTCTCTCACCAGTTGCTGGCAAAACATCAGGAAATCTGTTCTCTAGACCACGGTCACTAAACCCTGAAGTGCAACACTATTGCCCAACAGATACCAGCTGTGAAAGCCTCCACCGGTATAAGGGGGGAACTATTTCTTTTATATCAACGCAGTTAATGGTTATTTAAAGTTTTCTCATAATGGGCTGGGAACGAAATAAATGCAAGGTCATGGCAGCCAGAGTGGAAATCGATTTGCACAGAGGAGTACAGAGATAGCCTTGAAGAAAGTATGCAACAGCCATTACAAAAATATCAGCTTAGTCCAGAAAGACAGGAGGGGTGAGGAAGAAACTCAAGATTGGCTCTCTTGGGTATAAGAGGGAGGGAAAGAGAAACTCTGTCAGGCTTTCAAGATTCTGTTATTATAGCCTATATCAGTATTTCTCAACCTTTGCAACTTTAAAATATGTGGACTCCAACTCCCAGAATTCCCCAGCCAGCATACTGGCTGGGTGATTCTGGGAGTTGAAATCTGCCATATTAAAGTTGCAAAGGTTGAGAAACACTAGCCTATATCAACAAAGTTCTAAAATTTCTTATAATGTCTGTTTCCTGAACTGGCCTACCTCAAAGGGTTGACAATTTTGTGGTCACTATGACAATCACAGTGGTACTATGGTTAAGGGCAAGTGGAGACAGGGCTTCAGGCTATGTTTAAGTTAAAAAGTAGAATATGCATTGTCTTCCTGATGATACCTATATTGAATTTCCTTTCTTTATTATCTCTCCTGTGTGCAAAATGTTAAAGTGTAAACAGCCTGGGTTCTTCCAAATTACCAGCCTTTCTTATTTTCAGTTTTCCAAACCTTCTATTATCTAATTTAAAGTATATTTATGTTAGTAGACTATATTCAGATTTATCCAGGGATCAGGACATTATGAGCTTGGGTGTATCTTGCGGGATATTGGGCGAGATTATTTCACTAAAAATGTCCAAAACGATCAAGGAAAACTCTGGTTCCATCTCAAACATGTAAAGTAAAATGGAATTGATGGATGAACACAGGCTGCCCAAGCGAAAATCGAAGAAAAAGCACCACAGGTTGACAAATACAGTAACACGCAGGATTATTCATTATTCATGCACTTGATACCCCAGGGCCAAAACAGAAATTCGGGAGTAAAATCAAGCATTAGAAATATGCTCTCTGTTCCCAGGTTATGTGAATCAACTATATCCCCTTTTAATATTTGCACTCATTCATTTGTAATATGTTCTGAAAAGCTTTCAGAACCCTTCAGACTGTACATTATGATGGTTATTCCTTCTCCCCCACAGAAACAAAGGCTACCCTTGCTTTCTTTCAGCTGTGGAAAATGCTCAGTCCCGTGTAATTAGTGGGCTGGGATATTACAGTGTTTTTGTTTTAACTAGATAGCACAGCTCTTGTTAATGCCCCTGGGTGAGATATGGCACTTTGCTTTTACACAGATGTGTAAATGTGAAGCCATAGTGAAATCTAACTTGTCCCTAAAACCAACACACGGACAACTTCTGAAACCACAAAACCCATCCATGGCAGAGCCAGCATTACATTCTTTATATCCTACGTGGAAAACAGGCATATTTGATCATGGTGATACTGTAGAGGAAACCCTGCATTAATTTAAGAATGCCTCTAGGAGGCAGTGCGGTCAGATAAATCTCTCTGGCACAAAGGGAAGAAAGGACATGTCTTCACATTATTGTACAATGGGACCATGACCGATTGCTTAACTTCTAAGGCCAAGTTAAATGAAAGGTTGATCATTTAAAATCTGCCACTGGGTTTTTTCTAACATAGAAAAAGTAGCTCGAAGCAGAGGTGATTAACTTTGGGGTAAAAAACTAGAAGAAAAGCTGGCCCTTTCCCCACAAGTACTCTGGTTCCAATCCAATCTATTTGCCACTTCCTTATGATTGTCAAAAAGAAATATTTTGGTTTGGCCTAAGCCATTTTGTAGAAGTGTTGGAATGATGGCCTTTTGCCATGAAAACCCTTCAGACAGAGGTGAAAAAGAATGTGAATTAGCATAAGCTGTTTCGTGGAATCAGCACTCCATCTCTATCCACCAAAGGGTGTCTTTCCTACCGTCAGTGTACAGCCAAAACTAAGCATCTCTGGAGAGTACCATCCAGTTGGGAGTGTATTCCCAATTGTCAAGGCAGTGATCAAGTGCCCAGACAACTGGGTTTTTTTTACATCCAGAGACAATAAACACACCAGTAGGTGAGGAGATTTTAAGCTTTATTGTTAACTCTAGCAAACAGGAATATAAGAATATAAGATACAAAATTAGCAGATGGAATTAAACAGAAATACAAAGCATAACACACCAAGCAAGATGATAAAACTCTTTCCCTACCGTCAGGAGCTACCACAAGGTGACAGTGGAGAGACCCCAGGATGGCTTAGATAACACAGCTCCTGGTCCCACGGCCCGTGCCCCCCCTCCAAGACTCGAGGGGCAATGCCAGGGATTTGTCAAAGTCCAGGACTGCAATCTCATGACTCTGTTTCGATGGCATCGGGGCTGTGGGGCCCAACCTTGACCAGATACTTCCCAGGGTCTGAGCATTATACAGATAAGCTAGTGCTTAACCTAAACAATCCTGAGGGTTTCCCTCCCCCACCCCGCCCACCCCTCTTACTAGGAGAGAAAAAAAAGCCACATAAACATTATTATGACACAGAGTGAAATTTCTTAACATGTGCCGGAGAAATCAAAACATGTCACCTAAACTCCTCGAAATAACAATGGTCTTTCGCATTGCCACTACAGAGAGGTTAGATTACTAATAGAAAAACCAAGAGGAAGAAACAAGGAGAGAAGGACCAAGAAGTAGGAGGGATTACTGACTTAAGGGGCATGGAAGGA